TCCTTTGCAAATCTCTCCACTCTGCGCCCTTGTGTGTACAGTATGTGTAAGATGTGTTCGTGTGTGAAAGCATCTGGGGATGGTAAGTAGAAAATGGGCTCTAAAGATCAAAGAGCCTTTAAATATTCTCCGCTGCCCATGAAAATGACTTCCAGAATCATCATGCTTTTGTTCTTCACCATAACTAAATTAAAAGTTGTCTTTGGCTCATTGTGGAATCTAGGTTCATGGTTGGTTGGTTAAAGTGGTGAGTTAGATTAAAAAAACGCTAAATGTACATTGTTTTAATGTATGTTGATTAGGCTATATAATGAAGCTCACATGTTGGGTTACTCATTTATGTCTCTCTCTAGCTTTTCTGGAGCACAGACGTATAGGTCTATACTATACTTTTAATGTGGTAGTGGTTGCTATGTATTTAAAATCCTAATACCTGATTTTAGACTTTTATATACTACTGTTCAAAATGTTTTTTGTTTTTTTTAAAGAAATTAATCATTTTATTCAGCAAGGACTCATTAAGTTTACCAAAATTATTAGTAAAGATGATCTAATGTTACAAAAAATTTCCATTTCAATTAAACGCTGTTCTGTTCATAAGACAATCCTAAAAAATAAAAAAATATATTAAGCAGCAGTCATTTTCAACATTTATAATCTAAAATGTTTCTTGAACAGCAAATCATCATATTAGAGTAATTTCTCATCATCATGGACTGATCAAACTGGAGTAATAATGCTGGAAATGCATAATTTAATACTATAATTTAATACTAATTTTCATAATATTACTGGTTTTACTGTATTTTTGAGAAGACAAATGCAGCCTTGGTGAGCAATAGAGACTTCATTCAACACATTAAAAATCTTACGCAGTTTTGAAAAGTCCAGCTCAGCGTACTGAAAAAGCAATGAGGAAAACATTATTAGCATTCAGCTAACACAGTAATAGATACTAGCATTCAGGTAATAAAACACACCAATAAAACAGTATTAGCATTCAATTAAACACACACACACAAAAAAACATTATTAGGATATTGCAGTTGTCTTTGTACAGACATAGATGGTTCAAAACAATGTATGAGTTTCATGTCATTTGCCGGAGGTTCATTTGATTCCTGAGGTTGAACTGGTGTTTGCTGTAGATCAGTGGCAGGAAGTTCTTGTGATCGTCCTCTGGATATTTTATGTCCAACAACAAAATGGGTAAAACACCTGTGAAAAGAAATAATACATATTAAGACAGTACATTGTGTCCTATTTTACAGACATTTCTTAGTGTATAACCTAGGTAGTATATTATATACTATGACATTCTTATGAAGCAATAACTGAAGTATCACTCACCAGCGATGCATAGTCTGGTGTCGTTGTTGAACTGTGCAATTTTTGGTTATGTTCATACTGTAATGATCTCCTAATTCATCAATAGTGACATTATTTATGAACAGATGATGTGTCACGAATCCGGTCTATGAACTTCCGTTTGTTCACCACAAGAGGTCATTATCCACCACATGGACTCTCACACTACACAGACTGTCACACGAACTGGTGTTTGCTGTAGATCAGTGGCAGGAAGTTCTTGTGATCGTCCTCTGGATATTTTATGTCCAACAACAAAATGGGTAAAACACCTGTGAAAAGAAATAATACATATTAAGACAGTACATTGGGTCCTATTTTACAGACATTTCTTAGTGTATAACCTAGGTAGTATATTATATACTATGACATTCTTATGAAGCAATAACTGAAGTATCACTCACCAGCGATGCATAGTCTGGTGTCGTTGTTGAACTGCAATTTTTGGTTATGTTCATACTGTAATGATCTCCTAATTCATCAATAGTGATTTTGTTCACCACAAGAGGTCATTATCCACCACATGGACTCTTACACTACACAGACTGTCACACTCACCCTGGACTTCAGTTCCCACAATCCATTTCACTCTGATTACACACACAGCTGCAGCCAATCACACACCCTACATAAGCCATGGACTTCCTCTCTCTCGCTGCCCAGTATTGTTTAGCATTTATCACTCTTCCAGCTAGAGGATGCAACACAGTAGGAAAAAAAGTGTCAGAGAAAATAAAAATGTTTAACATTGACAACACAATAGGAAAATAGTGTCGCAGAGAGAAAAAAAATAAAAATGTAGGTTGTACAAAAATAGCCTATTAGCTATTTTTATTCGTCTTGTCAAAATACTAAATTTGTTTGACATTTTTCTGTTAACACAGTAGGAAAAGTGT